TAAGGAGTTTAATCGCATGTTACATGTGAACATGCTGAAGCCCTACCACAAGCGGACAGAGGATGTAGCCGCTATATGTGCTCCAGCCCTGGAAGATTTTGATAATCTTCCCCTTCCTGACCTCCTAGAGGATGGAGTTCAGGTAGGGTCCATAGATGACGTCCAATTAGGGGACCGACTAACCGGGGAAGAACGCAGGCAAGTGCAGCAGATGCTGTCTGCAAAGAGAGATACCTTCTTTAAACTACCAGCCACAGTGTTGAGACTAACAATTTTCATTACAAAATTTGTACAAACCACCCACAGAGTAGAGACTAACAATTTTCATTACAAAATTTGGATTTGAATTGTACAGAGATAGACCATTTAATAAGAAGGTCATGAAGTTGTAACCAGTTCATGCCAAGTATGACAGGGAATAAAGGTGATTTCACGATGTCAAATTTTTAATATTCACGGTGATTAATTTCAGTAGGCATTTTTAGAGGAATTGTTTCATCTTTAATAGGACCTGATGAAATGGTTGAACCATCAACCACTCTAATGGAGATAAAGGAAGTTTTTTGAATGTAAGGAATTTTATTTTTTGAGTTGAGTCAATAAATGTTCCAGCAGCACCAGAATCAATAATAGCTTCAGTATGAATACGTTCTAGATACCACTGTAAAATGATAGAGACAACACAATGAGGAATTGTTTTAGGAGATGTATTCAAGTTTTTTCTTGTCCCTCTTTGAAGAGGACAAGTTTCCAGGAGATGTTCCTTTGAAGCACAGTACATACAAAGATAACTTTTTTTTAAAGATTTTCTTATTTTAAGTCTTTCTTCTGTAGTTAAAGGACCTCTGAAAGTACCAACTACCAAGTAGCAATCTGTGGTCCAGTTGGTGGTCTGTGGTCCAGTATTCCAATTCTAGCACGTTCATCTCATAAGTAGTCAGACAAACCAATCCTGTACTGATACTTTAGCTGCTTCATTCCAAGAGGTATCTGATGCCAACCTTCTGAATTGTGAAATGTACTCCTCAACATTGCCACGTCCAGGGATGGGCTGCGACGCCCTAAATCCAGGGTGGTCCGCATCCAGCAAAAAAAGGAAAAATCCTTTGGCTGGGGACTCGGATTTTTCAACTTACCTATCTGCCTGCAGCCAGTGGAGTCAGCCGGCCTCTCCTCATGATGTCAGGAGGAGGGGGTGTGACATTCCCTGCTCTTCTCCCAGGACCGCTGGTGAGTCTGGATAAGAGCAGAGGAAGTCACGCCCCCTCCTCCTGACATCATCAGGAGAGGCCAGCAGACTCCAGTGACTGCTGGCTCCTGCTTCCTGCTACTTGATCTTGGATCCTGCCCACCCCTCCCTGGCCTAAGTTAAGACTCAGGTAGGGGGGAATACACTTTAGATTTTTTTTATCCCCCTCCTGAGCCCCTGTCCCCTTTCCTTAGTCCTGTCCCTTTTTTTCAGCCCATGTTCCCCTTCCTGTGTGTATGAGTGTGTCAGTATGTCTGTGTGTGTGTGTGTGTGTCAGTATGCCTGTAACAGTGTGTTTGTGTGCATGTGCCTGTCAGTGAGTGTGTGTTTCTTAGTGTGTGTCAAATCAGCAAGTGTGTGTGTGCCTGTCAGTGAGTGTGTCTGTTTAGGTGACTGCCACCCCTCTCAATCACATGGCAAAGGTGTATTTACTCTCCTCTTGGTGCAATGGGCCACTTGACTGGATTTGCCCCCTAGGCACATACACACAGATACACACACCGGCACACAGATATACACACTGACAGAAACACTGACACACAGATACACACACTGATACACATACACACACACTGACAAATACAATGACACACAGATACACACACTGACATGCACACAGATACACACTCTGACATACAGATACACACACACAAACACACTCAGTGACACATACACACACCTTGACACACAGATACACATACTCAATGACACATACACACAGATACACGCACTCAGTGACACACCCTGACACACAGATATACACACACTGACACATACACACACACTCATTCATACACTGACACACAGATAAACATACTGACAGATGAACACATCTTGGCACACAGATACACACACACTGGCACAATGATACACTGACAGATACACTAAAACACAGATACACAGACACACACTGACAGATACACTGAAACATAGATACACACTAACACATACACACTGTGACACATGCACACACCTTGACACACAGATACACAAACTGGCACAGGTACACACACACACACACAAATGTTTATATTTGCAGTCACCCTCCTTTTCACTTACATTTTTTCTTCAGAATGGTGACTTCCTTCAGTGCTGTAGGCTGCTGGCTAAGGATGGTGTGCCAGGTGCTCCGTACCCGCTGCTCCTTTTCTCCCTCCACCTGGTGTTCTATCAGGTGTGTTCTGTCTGGTAGGAAGTGCTGTCACTTAGGGGCCTTTTGGCAGCTATCCATTTAGAGCGTAGCTGGCACTTGTTAGTTTCTCAAGGTTAGGTTTCAAGGCTTTTAGTAAATACACATTTTATCAAATATTTCTTGCTGGCATGCAAATTCTATGTTCTATAGACAAAGCTTTCTTGTAAAACTATGGGGGCCTCTTAGAGGTATAGCAAGAGGATTTAAAGGGGCCTTACAGATTTATAGAGGCCTAATAATTCTACAACATTATATTAGTGTATATAATATTAAACTAATTAGTTAGATTACTAGGCCACCCTCTAGGAGTAATAACATAATAACTCCATTATTTTTCCAAGCTCTCCACTACATCCAGGTAAAAACATATTTATTGAAATTTTTACAGACACGTCCATGTTTTCAGGATCTTTCCCCTGTGTTAGGGAACTGTGTGTGTGTGTGTTTTTCTACACTTCCAGTGGGTGCAGACCATTGCTCTTTCAAGCCCCGCGCTACTGAAAGTATCAAAGCATTGCTTGTGTAACCCTTGGCAATGCTTTGTTACATTCAGAGATGCTGGAGCTTGTAGAAACAATGCATATGGTCTTCACCTGCCAGTGGTGCTGTCCACAAACTCCCTAGGTCCCAGCCTTAGAGTGGGGTGGGCGTTGAAGAACATCTCTTATCCTGCCACTACAGAGATCTAATGTTTAAACTTCCTTTATTGTACAGTCTGTTTAATTTAGAATTTTGTATTTCATACTCTGTTAATAGCCTGCTAGACCTTACAGGACCTTAGACCTCCTGTGTGTGATTAAAGTTCAAATAACAGAGTATGAGATTAAAAAAAACCTTCTAAAGTAAGTTAACATCTGATTGAAACTTATCCCTTTTTTTCATGCAGGCTGTGTTAGTCACAGCAAGGGAAAGTGTGGCTAGGGCTGCATAAACATAAACAAAAGAGTTTAATGTCTAAATGGCAGAGAATTGAGCAGTGTGACTGCAGGGGCATGATCTATACACCAAAACTGCTCATTAAAGGACCACCCTAGGCACCCAGACCACTTCAGCTTAATGAAGTGGTCTGGGTGCCAGGTCCAGCTAGGGTTAACCCATTGTTTCATAAACATAGCAGTTTCAGAGAAACTGTTATGTTTATGAATGGGTTAAGCCTTCCCCCATTCCCTCTAGCGGCTGTCTCACTGACAGCCGCTAGAGGCGCTTGCGTGCTTCTCACTGTGATTTTCACAGTGAGAGCACGCCAGCGTCCATAGGAAAGCATATGAATGATTTCCTATGTGACCGGCTGAATGCGCGCGCAGCTCTTGTCGCGCGTGCGCATTCAGCCGAAGGAGCGGATCGGAGGAGGAGAGGAGGCAGAGAGCTCCCCGCCCAGCGCTTGAAAAAGGTAAGATTTAAACCCTTTCCCCCTTCCAGAGCCGGGCGGGAGGGGGTACCTGAGGGTGGGGGCACCCTCAGGGCACTATAGTGCCAGGAAAACGAGTATGTTTTCCTGGCACTATAGTGGTCCTTTAAGCTAAAGTTTTTGGGTCCCTTTAAAGTGTACCTGTCATGATACACACAACTTGGTTTTAAAATATATTAAATTAGTTATTGTTCTAAAAAAAACTGGTGTCTTATCTTCAGAGGTAAAGTCCCTCCCAATCGGAGGAGATACAAATTTTCAGAATACAATAATGAATGGACACAAAAACCTTAAATAATAAAATTGTGGTGCATAGTGAAAGGCCCACCAGGTAGCCACCATCCACGTGGAATGGACAATGATCCAGTGTGAGTGAGGAATAAGCTTTCTGGCTCATGAATTCACCAATTGAATTGAAGACCGAAGCCTTCTGTTTCCAAAGAAGTCCATAAAAATGAACAAGCAAGGAAAATTACAAGGAAGAAGGGTAGAGTGGCCTTAACATGATACTCAGGACTGCATAATCCTTAAGAAAAAACTAAAGAGAAATTATCAAAAGAAACAACACTTTCCATGATAATGACTGCAAATCGAATAGATGCATAAGCTTAAAAGGAGCATTTTGCAGCTAGTGCATCTGGTTCTGATGGAGAGGGGGAGTTGCAGACTTTACCAGAAGTTTGTTTTGTGTCTAATAGGGGCGGATGCAAGCTATGTTTTTGAGATGGCAGCGGCAGTATCTGGCAATCAACTGGACATGAGGGGTGAAGGAGAGGTCAGAGTCAAAGAGAACACCTAGGCAGCGAGCCTGCGAGGAAGAGGTGATGGTGGCACCGTTGACTTGGAGGCAGACAGATACGGGAGTAGCAACACTTGAAGGAGGAAAAACCTGAATTTCTGTTTTGGACAGGTTGAGTTTAAGGAAGTGAGCAGCCATCCAGTTTGAAATTGTGGAGAGGTAGTCACTTATACCCTTTGTGTCACTATACCCCACTCCCTCTAGCATGTAAGCTCATTGAGCAGGGCCCTCAACCCCTCTGTTCCCGTGCATCCATTTGTCTAGTTACAATTATGTGTTTGTTAGTTTAGTGTATTAGCATGTTATATATTCACAAAATGGCTCTCAGACATTGTAGTAAAATAGAACTTCTCTTTACTTCAGTACACAAACATAATAACATAAAAACAAGAGAGACTAACAGAACAGAACAAGTGCATAACTTCACTATGCTGACATCTACTGGAAGGTGGACTGCATAACACCCCAATACATAACTCTCCTCCCCCCTAGACCTCAAAGTCTTTGAGATAACTGGGAGGGTGAATATTTCTTCTTGGGTGCCCCAAAACCATGTTTGGAGCTGCTTCACCTGGACCTTCAGTTGTGCCCATCCCTTCTTCCTGTGCTCTCTCAGATGGACCGCAAGGAACTGGTTCTGCAACAACAACTCCTGGAGAACTGGCACCTGTATCACCAAGTGGTTCGACATCATCTGGTATCACAGAAAACCCGGTATGACTGGGACCGACAGCAGGCACAATCTCATCACTCCGTTCCCGGATCTGATCGACATGCCTACCATCAGGAATTTGAACTTTGTATGACAAAGGTCCTGTGGCCACAAGTACTTTTGCAGGTATCCATTTAGGCCCAGAAACATAATTCTTGACATAGACAGCACTGTCAGCTCCAAATACTCTCACAGTGGAAGCATTATAGTTCTTATTGAATTACAATTCTTGCTTCTCTTGTAACTCAGATGTCAAATCAGGATGTAAATGATCCAGACAAGTTTTAAGACTCCGGTTCATAAGGAGCTCTGCTGGACTACTACCAGTGCTTGAGCATGGTGTCACATGTTGTTGCAGAAGGAAATTTGCAAGTCTACGATTCCAATCTCCTTCAATAATTCTCTTTAATGAGTCTTTGGTAGTCTTAACCATACGCTCTGCTTGACCATTTGACGATGGGTTAAATGGTGCAATCGTAACATGTCGATTAAGATTACTTGCCATGAAAATTTTTAATTCTGATGAGGTAAATTGTGTTCCATTATCAGACACAATTGTATCTGGCAACCCATGTGTAGCAAACAGCCTCCTTAGAATCTTTATGACTGTGACTGAGGTAGCAGATGTAACTGGAACAACTTCTAACCATTTTGAAAAGGAGTCAACAACTAAAAAAAACATCTGTCCATGAAAAGGGTCAGCAAAATCTATATGTAAACGGTGATCTAGTCACTTCCCAAGGATGTACTGAGGCTTTAGGTGGAGCATGACGAGTAGATTGGCATGGTACACGGTTCTTCACCCGCTTTTCAATAACTTCATCCATTTTAGGCCACCAAACATAACTTCTGGCTAAAGCTTTCATGCAAACTATTCCAGGATGTCCTTCATGAAGAGCATGCAATACTCGAGCTTGTCCTGCATTTGGAATTACCACTCTGTTTCCCCATAATAGGCACCCTTTATAGGCAAATAGTTCATGTTGGCGCACTACAAATGGTTTGAACTTGTCTTCCACTTTTGATTTTGGCCACCCCCTCCAAACCCAGTTGAGCACACGGGACAGCAAAGGATCCTTGGCAGACATACAAGCAATGTGACTTGCATGTAACGGAGGATTTGGAATGGATTCCAACATGAGGACCTCAGGCATAGGAGGAACAAGGAAGTCAGGAGAAGGCAAAGGTAATCGGCTTAATCCATCAGCATGTTTGATATCCTTGCCAGGATGATACTTGAACTCACAATCATAGGCATTCAGCATAAGGAACCACCTGAGCATGCGTGGTGAAATTATTTGAGGAGTGGGAGTATTGCTGGTGAACAGACCCAGTAAAGGTTTATGATCTGTTATAATAGTAAACCTCCGCCCATACAAATAGTCCTGAAACTTTTTTACACTGGACACAATAGCTAAAGCCTCCTTGTCAATTTGGGCATAATTCCTCTCTGTAGTAGATAAAGTCCGTGAATAAAACACAATAGGAGCCTCAACCCCATTTCTCAAAGTGTGGCTCAATACAGCCGCCATGCCATACGGAGAAGCATCGCAGGTGAGGTTGAGCGGTTTCTCCAAATCATAGTAAACTGTCAGAAGACAACAGGTTTTTAGCAGCACTGAAAGCGGTAGTATGAACGTCAGTCCACTTCCATGGAGCATCTTTATCTAGAAGACAATGCAGAGGTTCAGCAACAGTGGCTTTATCAGGCAGAAAATAATAGTAAAAATTAAGCAACCCTAGGAAAGCTTGCAGTTCTTGTTTATTTGTTGGAACCGGAGCTCTATGGATAGCTTCAACCTTAGAATCAGTTGGATGAATGCCCTGTGCGTCAACTCGGTAACCAAGGAAATCCACGCTGCTTACACCAAAAACACACTTTTCTTTTTTAAGTTTTAGACCAGCATAAAGAAAACATTGTAAAACAAGTTGTAGCTGTGCAGCCAATGACTGTATAGAATCTGCTCCAATAAGAACGTCATCAAAATAAGGCACTACACCTGGAAGTCCAAATAAGAGGTCCTCCATTAAATTCTGGAATATGCCAGGAGCAATGGAAACTCCAATCTGCAAACGTCTTGCTCGGAAAGCTCCTTTGTGTGCTATTATCGTTTGTACATCAGCAGCCTCATCATCCACAGGTAACTGCTGGTAGGCTTGAGCCATATCCAACTTGGCAAATACTTTTCCTTTTGCCAAAGTAGTAAGAATTTGATTAACAGCTGGAATTTGATAGGGATGCTCTTGCAACGCTTTGTTGATTGTACATTTGTAGTCAGTACATATTCTGATATCCCCATTTGGTTTAATGTCCGGAACTATGGGTGTACACGGGTTCAAGTATACCTTGTTCCACAAGACATGTAATCTCAGCATCTATTTTTGGTCTGAGAGCTAATGCAATTTTGCGAGCCTTCATACGAACTGGGGGTACTCTTGAATTTAATACAAAAGAAACATGCCAAGACCGTCTTCAAAAACTGCACTAAATTTATCAATCACATTCTGTAGAATATCTTTGGATACATTATTAACTCCAGTTAATGAAATTCCTAAGGGTTCAAACCACTCTCTACCTAGCAAACTTGCTCTTTGTCCCTTAGTAATTATTAAACGTAAGTGTCCTCTGAATTTACCATATTTTACTGGTATAAAACAAGCCCCTTTAGCATCCACAGCCTGTTTGTTGTAGTCCACCAGATGAATATCACAAGGTACTATTGAAGGAGAATTATGAGGCCATAACAATGTAAATGTCTCTTCTGAAATCAAAGAATATGCGCACCCAGAATCTACTTCCATTTTGCACGGAACATCTTGCAGGACAATTTCAGTGTAAATCTTCAGTCCTGATGGCGAATTTTCCACTTTATTCACATAGTCATTTGAATAAACACCTGCAGTAATTTCACTATCTGAAACGGTATGAGGAGTATTAAAAGAGTGCGCTGTGGTTTGCATTTTATTCACATTCTTATATTTGGTTTGAATTCCACTGGCTTGTGTTTGGCAAACTGTCTGTATGTGACCTGTACGTTTACATGTGTGGCAAACTGCATTTCGAAAATGATATGTATTACGCCTGTGTTTTCCACCGCAACTATAACAAGTTCCTTTAACCCCTTATGACACATGACATGTGTGACATGTCATGATTCCCTTTTATTCCAGAAGTTTGGTCCTTAAGGGGTTAAATGGAGCTGTGACATCAGTGCATGGTGAAAAGTCTTTTGATTTAACATCAGTCTTCTTCACTAGATTTATTTCAGGTGAGTTCTCTTTGCTGGAGGAGGATTGTATCTCTTTTGAATGGACATATGCAGCCTCATTTGCGAGCACTTCCTCTTGTGCAATAATAAAAGTTAAATTCTGTCTTGCAAGCAGTCTCCTCTGCAGTGCTTCATCTTGCACCCCACACACAAGCCTGTCCCTTAACAAGGATTCTAAGCTGGCACCAAAACTGCAATTTTCAAAGAGCCTGCGCAGTTCTGCAATGTATGCTGCAATGCTTTCACCTGGTTTCTGATTTCTTCTATTGAAATGGAAACGCCTCACTGTTTCAGATGGGGAGGGTGCTAAATGATGTTTTAACAGTGCCAGTATTTCTTCAAATAAGTAGTCTTGTGGTTTAGCAGGAGATATCAGTGAGCGGACAGTATCAAAAGTCTTGGATCCAATAACACTCAGTAACACAGCTCTCTTCTGAATAGCATCAACTACCTTATTAGCTTCCAGGGAAAAAACTGTCAGAATATGAGTCCCATGAGGCTGGAGTCAGATCAAATTCCTCCATGTGTCCCAGAGAGGCCATGCTGGAAATATTTGTAGATAATAGAATTCCAAAAGAAATGTGTTACTTCCTCACTCAGGGTGATTTTATTTCCTTTATATATATTCTGCAGTGTCCATGTACTGACATCCCATCCTCGTCGCCAGTTTAGTGTATTAGCATGTTATATATTCACAAAATTGCTCTCAGACATTGTAGTAAAATAGAACTTCTCTTTACTTCAGTACACACACATAATGACATAAAAACAAGAGAGACTAACAGAACAAGTGCATAACTTCACTATGCTGCCATCTACTGGAAGGTGGACTGCATAACACCCCAATACATAACAGTTAGTCCACCCATTGTACAGAGCTACAGAATTTGCTGGCGCTATATAAATAATAATAATAGTAATAATGAATGCCAGACTACCCGTTCATCTTTCAGGCAAGCACCCTAATGGCAGGCTCTGAAGGGAGCACCTTTTCAAAATTGCATGAGCTAGATACCCCGTGCTACGCTTGTTGGGGGACAGTTTCTTAAGGTCCCCAAAAGCGGGATGGCGGGACAGGACCCAAAAATCATAAATGTCCCACCGAAATTGGGACAGTTGGGAACAGTTTACTCTACCCTGAAAGGGTGCATACTGTGTTTACAGTTTATATCAAAGTTTGTAAAAAATAAAATAAAATAAAAATTGTTTGCATTATTTTGCTTACACAATACATTTTTGCTGGGTATTTTGCAAATCTATGATCAAATCCTCCCCCCAAGTTATGCTGAACAAACTCGTCTGAATGAATCAATAGTGCCAATGTATGCCTTTGGTACTAATTACAGTGCCATATAAGAGACCTGACTATTTCAGTTTCTACAATAGGACTTTTCATAGATGATTATGATAGGAATATTCCACATTTTGGGGCCATGTAACAGTTTGTAACATTATGACAATTCATATTACCCCATAAAGGGTCATATGGTATATAGTTGCCCTATTATAGAGCTCAATCTCTTTCAAAGTTTGTAGTATTATTTTTGTGACAATCCACAGTGGTTTGTTTGTTGATAGGCAACTCAGTTGCAGTGCAACAGCACTGCCTCACAATCATGACTCTCAGGTGCACCTGTCAGTGGTGGCACTGGTTCTTATATAAGAAAATGGTGCCAAAATGCGGTATCTGAGAGAGGAAAACAAGAGGCGAAATCAGGAGATCCAAAAGTCAGGGAGGGCAGCAAAGCAGGTGGTCAGGAAGGAAGCTGGAGTCAGGAACCAGGAAATCAATCAAAGGAGAGGCAGGTCAGAAAACTGGAAAATCACAAGGACTCCAGAACAGGAAGATTAGAACAACCAATCACTGATTAGGAGGCCCTCTGGGATTAAATAGGCCCACATGTCCAGCAAATTTACACCTGTAGGTTGAGCACTCTGGGACTGTAGAAACAGTTCGGGGACCAAGTGCCATCTCGGTTTGCTTCATTGTCCCTGGACAGCCACTCCCACCATTCCCAATAATTTGTCCTGCTCTCCATCATGCTGCAACGGTGTGTTCACTGTGGACCGTCGCTCCATATTGGAAGACAAGGGTAGCTGCACACCAGACCGACCTGCAGCATGGCAACCACCCAAAAACCTCCCCAATTATGCCATGGGCACCCAGGAAGAGGTGAGTGACAATTTTATTTTTTGAATTTTTTTTACCTGCACATTGCAATTTATTTGTTTATTTTGTAAACTTGAAATGTGTTGGGGATAAAATCAGCCCGTGACCCTCTTTGGTTGATGGATGTTTGCCAACTCTTACAGAGCTCTGGAAATTGGAAATGAAAAGCAGAGACGTGTTCCATATAAACTGTCGCGGCACAAAGAATTGTGATTTTTCTGTTCTCTCCGTGATCCTCTTGAATTTGGTCTGTGACATGATATGCCCGGTGGTGATTAAATTAGGATTTTGGGTCCCAATTGCTCAGATTTTGGCCTTTGCCATGTGGAGCACTCACAGCATAAGTCTGCTCGCGGGAAGGTCCAGGACATGCCCCCTTGTAGTATTCTTTTTTTATTGTTCTTATTACATACACAATGTGTTTTCAAAGTAACATATACCTAACACTTATTCTAAACCCAATCCCAAGGGTTTCCCTCTGCTAGTATCAGTACTGAGAGTAGCAAAGGGAATTCCAAGCTAAAACAGAGAGTGGCATATAGCAGCCATTTACTGGTTATTTTTCACAATGACAGGCAGAAATCTATTACTCTAAAAATAGCTTTCCAAATGCATTGTGATCAGTGCAGGGCAACTGAAATCATGAAGGGAGTCCCTTGAGTATCTGTTTAGACCATGAGGGTCTCCCAAGCACCAGCTTCACAGAGAGAATCCCCGTGACAGAGCTTGCTTGTTCAGCTGCTGTATTCTCAATTAATTTAAAGGGATGTATTCAGCTCATCAATCAGTACAGTGCTGTCTACAGAAATTTAAGTTGTTTAAAGTGCTACATGTCACGTTGCATTTTTGCGCTGCGTGCAGCTCACGTGTCACTCTGGGGCCACTCAAAATGCCCTTAGCTGAAAGAGGGGAGCCCCAGGTATCAATTGATACCTGGAACTCCCTAGTGTGAGCAGGGATTTAACCCGGTTCTCATCATATTGTAGCAATGTGGATTTAAGACCTAATTTAAATGTCTGTTTGCAGTGTTCACTTTGAGTGCTGCAAACAGAGCATGTCAGTCTGGATTACAACAGCAACTGCTCTTTATTATTGTCCTTTCAAACTAATTGCACACGTGTAACTGACACAAAAACTGGTGCAATGGCCAAGCCCTATCTAAACCCCTTGTGTGTTCTCTTGTTCCTGTTTATGATACCCCGTTTACCAGACCCATGCTTGTTCCTGATCTAGTTTTCACCTTTCCCATTGTATTGTTGCTGTATCCAGTTTACCTGACCCTGACAGTATTCTTTTGTATGATTTTGCCTAGACCTTTGTTCAGTTTACTCCAGTGTTCTCCATGTATTAGTCATCGGTTAGTTCCTGACTTTGAACAGCTTTCTTTGTTCCCGAGTTATGGCTTGTGTGAATTGTTAGCAGCAGCACATAGGCAACTGCCATGTCATGTTGTCTCACTGAAAGTGGACATAAGGCCCCAAAATAATTCCGGCCAAGCAGCCCAGCCCAGCCAGTCATACTGGCATCCATTTAAAAAAAAAAAAACAGACGGGTCTCCTGAAGGGACATTCCTGGGTCCTTGACAGATGTTTAATCCACCTGTTGAAGAAGTCTTATGCCAGAGGGTCAACCATGGTTGCTGTGAGAGATCTTTATAATTTCCATCCCACTGATGGAGAAAGGACCATTGAAAGGTGCATAAATGGAACCTCATAACTAGAACTGTTCAAAGAAAACACCGTGAGGCACAGAACCTCCATGCAATGCATAACTGAAGATGCACTCCGCTTCTGAAGCAAAATATCTCTAACTTAAAGGGACACTATAGTCACCAGAACAACAACAGCTTAATGGATTTGTTCTGGTGAGTAGAATCATTACCTTCAGGCTTTCTGCTGTAAACACTGTCTTTTCAGAGAAAATGCAGTGTTTACATTACAGCCTAGTGATAACTTCACTGGCCACTCCTCAGATGGTTGTTAGAGATCCTTCCTGGGTCATGGCTGCCTAAAATGCATCCAAACATTCAGTGTCTCCTCCCTCTGCATGCAGACACTGAACTTTCCTCATAGAGATTCACTGATTCAATTAATCTCTATGAGGAGATGCTGATTAGCCAGGGCTGTGTTTGAATTGTGCTGGCTCTGCCCTTGATCTGCCTCTTTGTCAGTCTCAGCCAATCCTATGGGGAAGCATTGTGATTGGATTAGGCTACTGCTTCTGCTGTCAGCAGGCAGTGGTCGGGCTTAAAGGAAACAGGGACAGAGCCAGCAGCTTCAGGCTTGAATACTAGTAAGATTTTACTATATTTAGGGAGACATGAGGGGACCAGGAGGGCTAGATGGTGGCTTTAACCCTATAGAGGCAGGAATACATGTTTGTGTTCCTGACCATATAGTGCTCCTTTAACCTCTAGTGCTGCAAGACCTTTTCCTTACTAACATTATGGTAACATTACCTGTCCACCTTCCACCCTTCTTCTCTGGGGGTTGTGTAGCTACTTCCAGAGACTGTCCTATAGGTAGTGGACAGTACTATTCGTACTCATTTTGCAGTTATTTCCACCTCTTTACACGGAGAGGTGAGTTGTTATCCATTTATTACTGCTGCCAAAGTTTTAATCAGAAAACAAAATTACAGTACATATGGAAACTATTTGCTATTATTTAAAGGAACACTTTAAGGTTTAAATTGATCGGAGGGCGTGTCTGACACAACCGACGTGAGCGGTCGCATGGAGTAAGAGCTCCCGGCCGCAACAGACCCACACGCCATAAAAAAAGCAAATAAGACGACCAGAAACCCGGTACAAGCTTACCCGCCAACAATTACCGACAGCATGGCCCTGTCCAAGCAACTGAAGATGACGGACCAGATAAGATCCGCCAAAAAAGACAAGGGCAGGTCTTTGCAAGATGGCAACGACAGCATGGGCCTCTCTCCTGCATCAGACCAGCCACAAGACACTGACACAACCTCCTCTTCATACACGGAGGCACCAGTCAGTGGAAAAAGGCTGCAAGATTTAAGAACCACTTCAAATGCGGACATGAAACAAATGACTGCAGAATTTAAGCGGGAACTGGCCGACATTGGAGAGCGCACAGACCGCCTGAAAGTGCGGATGGAGGAAATATGCGCGACACAAAATGATTTTGCAGAGCAACTGCGAATGCTCCGAGAAGAGCACATGCTCCTAAAAAGGAAAACTGCAGACATAGAAGACCGCTCCAGGCGGAATAATGTAAGATTCCGGGGTATCCCAGATAACATTACCCATGATGCTCTCCCTGACTATATAATAGGCCTTTGCACCACTCTAGCTCCAGCCATAGAGAAAGAAAGGTGGCTCATGGACCGGGCCCACCGCATCCCAAGACCCCCGCGTT